AGGTCTTTAAATCAATCGTACCAGTTTTTATAAAGGCTGGTTTTTACTATGTCCAATTCAATATCCAAAAAATGGTCTATCTGATTTAGACAAGTACAAGCGCTACTTTTCGCAATTTGGCAAACTCCAAATTGATTTTAGAGCCATGGTTTCCTCGAAAAATTTGCTAAGAATTACACGAAGAATCCTTCTGTGATATACGCACATAGTCGAAAAAAATCTTCCATAAAAATTGACCCGCCCTAATATACATACATAAAGTTACTACCGAGTAAATAAATACAGAAGAAGACTTAGATTTTAGAAAACTAAGTTAATAAGAAGGTAATATTGAGAAAATAAATCCAATGAATACCAATATTTCTTTAAAAAATATAATGTACACTAGGGTGGTCATTAAAAATATCAACATTTAACTTTGTATAGGACACCCCTTTATTTTGTTTTGTGTACACAAAAGAGACATCCACGAAACATTCAAAATTGAAAAAAAAATGTCTAGCGGCAGCCGGCATCAGGGTTTGAAAAATTTTAATATTTTTAATCCCAAAAACTCGATAAAGTTTTGAATTGAAATTCGATAAATTTAACATATTATTGAAACTTATTTAAATAAACTCAATAACTCGCTATAGTTGATGAAAAGTTTTCAGAATTTTCGCTATTTCAAAAAAACAATAATAATTTTGTTTAACACTTGTAGTGGCCCCTATTTTTGAATTTTGAAATTTGTGTGGATGTCTTTATTCTGTTCCACGTACAAAATAAAGGTGTGTGCTATGATATAAAAATTTGGATGACCACCCTAACGTACATATGTAGCAATTAAGCTGCATGTTTTCTTTAGTTAAAATTAGTCTATTTAGTCAATCAGCGGTTTTATTTTTAAATTGCCTTGTTGTAATCATTTTGTGTTTATTTTTTGGCATTTAACATTTAGATTCTAATAATTATAATAGCTATTATTATTAATGTGTATGAATTGATATTAAAATTAGTAACTAAGATATGCTCAAATACTCTGTTGGGATAAATTTCCGACAAATATACTACATAGAAAACTATGAATAGCTATACTAAGCCTATGATTACTCAGTTTCCGACATACTGCTATTGAAAATGCGCAAAATTGTTTATTTAAAATTAAAAATAGAAACCAATTAGCCCAATTTCACACCACTTACGCTATTATGCGTTCCTTTGACAAGACAAGACGTATTTTTCCAGCTACAAGTCACTCCAGAAATGCATTAACATTTCTAGTTGTCAGTTATGCTCAAACCAAAACAAACAATAAAAAAAACGATAAATGTCTTTGCGTCATTTAGTAAATCAGCTGAACATAGATCATCTGCTCAAAAAAAAACAAAAATCCATTACTCATACGTCCTGTATAACGCTGTGTGTATGCATGAACAAAAAGCAACGAGTATATCGCAGCGAATACGTGATCAACAGCGGAAAACGATGTAATGTTAACGCATAATATACCTATGTAGCAATAACAGAGAAGGTGTATGTAAGAAATTTCTGATAACATCGCGGTGAGTTGAGTGCCTTGCTGATGGCCCATAGTCAAAACTGGCAGCAAAATAACAACGCGCGTTGCCAACTGCTTGAACATGCTTTTATTCGTTAACAGGTAGAGACGACGTCTATTTTTAAAAACAAGAGCCTTTTTGCTAATTTGTATGAAGAAAAATCGGAAAATTCACATACACCTATTTACATACATATACATACATATGTATATGTAGGTGCTTGTGTAGGCTAAGTAAAATGTATGTAAAGAGTAAAAAGAATGTACCGCCCATTTCCAAATACGGCCGAAAGAGGTAAAAGCAGTATACATACATACATAACTATGTGCTACTAAATAAAAGCTTTCTGAGTAAAATTCTAAAATATCAAATAACGCAGTAAAGCGCTGCTCCTAATGAGAGAGTAGCGCTTCAATAGCCGGCTTTTTTCGGTTTTTCTTTTCTTGTTTTTTTTTTTGTTTTGAGAAATAAGCGCATGCGTTTCGAAAGTGTAAGTTAACTTGCAGTTTGCGAAAATTTTGGCGAATAGCTTTTTTTCGTTGTTAAAAAATTCCCAGTATTTGCAATATAATGGGGGTAATCGATCATTGGTTTTCCATTTTTCGCAAATATATATATATATATATATATATTAATTTTTGCAAATAATTTCTCAAAATATCGTAAAATTCAAATTTCGTGTTCATTTCGTAATTGGCGTTCGTGTGCTGCAGCATCAGTGCCAAAAAATGGCACGCACATGTCGCGTGAATAGGAAAAGTATTTTAGTATCTAGCTACTATTTGTTAACGGTAATGAAGGTGCCAACAAATAAAACTGTTATCTAATATGTGATTAAAAATACGAAGCATTAAAGAGTTTTTGAAATTCTTTCAGTCACTGTACATACAAATCTAAATGACATTTAACGGTGCGTTAAATACTCTTTTGTTAAACGTTACTGTTTTCATGAAAACATTTTCACAACAAAAATAAAAAATGACGGCATACCGGTGCGATTATGATTATGTACATCGTTTTATTTGCATCTACATACATATGTACATATGTATCTATGCATGATGAGTAATGCATTTGCCGTATGCGTCATTTGTCTGCACTCTTAATGGAAAACAAGCGGAGAAGGCGCTATACACATGCTGTTTATTGGCTTAATATTCATTCTGAAAATGTTCAAAAAAAATCTGTGATATGAAAAGATACGCATGAAGACATAGAGCCATCCATAAATTGCCCAAGTAGACTCTCTTCGCTTGTGACCTCGTTGGAGAGAAGAGAAAGTGGAGCACAGTTTGTAGCAGTGACAGCGAAAACAAGCACATGGCCAAATCGTATACTCTCCTACATGCACACATACATACATATATTTATATGTGCTTTTATAAAATTGGATGTCTATAGGGCGGGCGTGCGCGCTCCACTAGTTCTACTACACGATCACAGTGGGGTCGATGGGTTGATGGTCGACGGTCATGCATTTTGTGTAGTGTGCTATAGCCAGCAAGTCAAGTGGAACATTTTTAAGAGACTATCGAAAGGGAGAGAGTGTGAGAGCATAGCAAGTTGCTAGAAAGTTTTTCGAATATTTGTGCTGTATGCGCTAATTAAATAGATCACTGGGAGTGTAAACACAACCTAATGCTTTGTCATAGTAGGGGGTGGTTCAAGTGAGTCAAGGCAAAGTACAAATATACATGCATACATATGTATAGGTACGAATAGCAACTGCAGAGAGCGAGAGCGTATGCGGTTGTCGGCAATCATATGGAATAGCAGGAGGAGTAATTAAGCGTTTGATGGTCAAACTCGCTACATATGTACATGTACATTATATGTATCGACATATGAGTATTACGTGCCACGGGAATGGCAATAGAAGCAAAGGCAACAGCAATAGCGCCAGCAGCAGCCAGCTGTGGATAGAAGTAGCAGCAGCATCAGCAGCAGAAATTAAATCATCGTAGAAGTGAGGCCAACTATGCCGCCGCATAATTAAATCGAAGAGTCATATCATACAATCCAACGTATTTGATTGTTGAAGGGATTTACTCAAAAGAAGACATTTGGTTAAACATATAAATTAACAAAATTCCAAACAAATCAATTATAATAAACTAGAAACTCTATTTTGATTTAATGCAAGTTAAATAAATGTTTAGAGTGGAGATTTTATGGAAAACTGGCGTATTTGCAAAAAGATATATATAACGAAAAATCAAATGCCAAGAATGCTGAGTGAGTGGGAGCGCATAGTGAAATTTTGTGAGAATCGCAAATATTGACGTAAATTGATTTACAAGCACGGAAGCACGGATATATGCAACCGATTAACAAAATTATTTTCTGAATTTATAAATAAAATTTACCGATCATTACCAAATCACGCGATTTTTGCGTTAACGGGTGTGATAAATATTAACAACGTCGGTACCAGCGGCTGATATGCATATGCATGTATGTATGTACCTAATACAAACGTACATAGTATACATATGTATGTATGTACATATTAAGCTAGTGAGTATGCATATGTAAACATGGTTGCATAGATACACAAACATTTAAAAACTGTAAAATCAAACTTAATTGCTATCGATAAATTAAAACTTTACCATTTTGCTGAGGTAAACATTTATCTGCTATGACTATTACAAAACCAACTTATTCCAACAACAACTGCAAGATGATTACAAAAAAATATGCGGCGGTAACGAGTGATTGAGACCCTGCTGTGCAGCATACATAAAATACAATACTGCGTGAAAAAGGCACTGGCAGCATTTGATGAAGAGAAAGTACATGAATGTGAAGATTACGAAATGGAAAATATAAAACATTAAAAGCAAGTCGCAGCAATTTGTGTGCATACATACATATCATAAACAATTAGAAACATTCACAACAGATTAGTAACATAAACAAGAACAGCGGCAGCAGGAAAAACTTTGTACAGCGTGATAACACAAACAATAGTTGCGTTTTTTTACTCATTTCCAGTAAAATCCAGTAAAAGTTTTTACGAATTTTCATGTTTTGGCGTTTTCGTACGCAAAAACTTGCAAAGTAGGGGAAATTGAGAGAGCGAAAAATGACAGCTGAAGTTGCAAGTTTTTACTGGATTTTACTGGATAAATTTTTACTTGTAAGAATTTGCCAGTACGAAAAACAGCTGATCGCATGTTGCTGGATGAAATTTAAACTAATAAGGAAACTGTTTGTGGCTTTTTATTGTTCAATTTCACAAAATAAACCTATTTAAATACAAAATATATTGTTTTATAAGGAATTTGCTGCGAATAAACAATCAATTTATCAGCTGTTCATGAAACTTGCAAATTATTACTGGAAAAGCGTTCGCGTACTTTTTTGCAAATTTTTTCTATGAGAGCGAATTCTTAGAAATAAAGTTACTGGAGAGTTACTGGCAAGTTACTGGATAATTAGTAAAAAAACACAACTTATGTAAACTATAGCATTGACTGCAAACATGTACACAGTTAACAGCAAAGCCTAGAAATCTTATCAGTCGCAGTCCACAAAAACTGAACAGCAACAGGAAACAAAAACTGCATTGATAGATTGACAGTTGAACCTTTACCCGCAACGGCAGCAGAAAACGCATTCAGATTATAAAAATTCAAACAGTTCGACATTTTGATAAATCACTTATTCACTGGATTTTCATGAAATCCTAAAGATTAACTTAATCTTGTGCGCAAATTCGGGGAAAAAACTTCTACACCGAGCAAACTCATTATGATTCAACGAACCCTGTGCGCTCATAATACAACAAATACAAACGCATGGCAAGTAGTGAGTTATAATAAAAAGGCGCAATCGAAAACCCTTTCTAAGGCAAAAGGAGGAGGTGGTGGAAGCACCGACAAATCAAATACGCAAATTAAAAATATAACATTAAATAAGAATACGCAAGCAATAACAAAATCACAAACTAATGTCGCATTGCTTGCGAGAGTAACAGCGAATAATCAAAAGATCTCAAGGACGAAAACGTCAACAAATCAACGAGGAAATTTGGCGCACTGTGCCGCAGCCGCCGCCACAATCAAGCAGACGACACCACCCACAGTTGGCAAAATAAAAACGAAAGTTGGCAGCGTGCCAACTCAGCAGCAGCAGCAGGCACAACAACAACAACCACATTCACAGCGCCATCAACAGCTACCGCAACAAGTACAACGGCAGCAGTCGCCTTTGTTGCATATCCGTCGTCGACGCGCAAATCAAGAGATCCGTCAAATTAAACGTGCACACCGCCATCTATTGACCAGTGGCGGTTGTGACTGGCAGCACCAACAAGCGGCCAATAGTTCGTCAACAGGTGTGGCAACCTTGCGCACCCGTAATCGGTTTGGGACCAAATGCATTACCAAAATCGGTTTGGGAATAAAAGCACTTCCGGTAGAAGTCAAGTGTCAAACGAAGAACAGCTGTTTAGCGACAAAGAAGAAACAGCAAAAGTACCAGCAGTCGCACCAACGAAAACAGCAGCAACAGAAACACAAGGCAAAATTGCAAAATTTCATGAAAAATGCCCACAGTGGCGGAGGAGCAGGTAGTTGCAGTAGCAGTAGTAAAAAACAAAATCCACCAAAAGGTAAACAACCATTAAATAGCGTACATGAACTAAGCAAGCACCTTGACGAAACTTATGCAGAGTCTGTAATTTCATCGCGTTGGGACTCGATCGAGGAGCAATTAAATTATCTGGATAAGCTGCTATATTACTGTGATGACGAGCAGGATGCTTGCAGTGTTCGGAATTCTAGTGTAAGCAAACTGTGCGATAGCAACGGGGAGAGGGCCAAATCAGTTGAGGTTTACTACGAAGGTGACGTTGACGACGACTACGAGAGTGACTGGAGTGTTGAGTGGAGCGATTCAGATATGTCAACTGGAGCAAAAGGTTCGGAAGATGCAGACGTGCTGTCNCTAAGGCAAAAGGAGGAGGTGGTGGAAGCACCGACAAATCAAATACGCAAATTAAAAATATAACATTAAATAAGAATACGCAAGCAATAACAAAATCACAAACTAATGTCGCATTGCTTGCGAGAGTAACAGCGAATAATCAAAAGATCTCAAGGACGAAAACGTCAACAAATCAACGAGGAAATTTGGCGCACTGTGCCGCAGCCGCCGCCACAATCAAGCAGACGACACCACCCACAGTTGGCAAAATAAAAACGAAAGTTGGCAGCGTGCCAACTCAGCAGCAGCAGCAGGCACAACAACAACAACCACATTCACAGCGCCATCAACAGCTATCGCAACAAGTACAACGGCAGCAGTCGCCTTTGTTGCATATCCGTCGTCGACGCGCAAATCAAGAGATCCGTCAAATTAAACGTGCACACCGCCATCTATTGACCAGTGGCGGTTGTGACTGGCAGCACCAACAAGCGGCCAATAGTTCGTCAACAGGTGTGGCAACCTTGCGCACCCGTAATCGGTTTGGGACCAAATGCATTACCAAAATCGGTTTGGGAATAAAAGCACTTCCGGTAGAAGTCAAGTGTCAAACGAAGAACAGCTGTTTAGCGACAAAGAAGAAACAGCAAAAGTACCAGCAGTCGCACCAACGAAAACAGCAGCAACAGAAACACAAGGCAAAATTGCAAAATTTCATGAAAAATGCCCACAGTGGCGGAGGAGCAGGTAGTTGCAGTAGCAGTAGTAAAAAACAAAATCCACCAAAAGGTAAACAACCATTAAATAGCGTACATGAACTAAGCAAGCACCTTGACGAAACTTATGCAGAGTCTGTAATTTCATCGCGTTGGGACTCGATCGAGGAGCAATTAAATTATCTGGATAAGCTGCTATATTACTGTGATGACGAGCAGGATGCTTGCAGTGTTCGGAATTCTAGTGTAAGCAAACTGTGCGATAGCAACGGGGAGAGGGCCAAATCAGTTGAGGTTTACTACGAAGGTGACGTTGACGACGACTACGAGAGTGACTGGAGTGTTGAGTGGAGCGATTCAGATATGTCAACTGGAGCAAAAGGTTCGGAAGATGCAGACGTGCTGTCCACTACAAGTGGCGCTGGTTCTGCATCTACAACGACCACATCACCATTGATGCCTTCCACGCTTAAGCGACGCGGACATCAGCACCACCCGCGTTTTTCAGGTACACGCCGTCCCNCAGCAGCAGCAGCAGGCACAACAACAACAACCACATTCACAGCGCCATCAACAGCTATCGCAACAAGTACAACGGCAGCAGTCGCCTTTGTTGCATATCCGTCGTCGACGCGCAAATCAAGAGATCCGTCAAATTAAACGTGCACACCGCCATCTATTGACCAGTGGCGGTTGTGACTGGCAGCACCAACAAGCGGCCAATAGTTCGTCTACAGGTGTGGCAACCTTGCGCACCCGTAATCGGTTTGGGACCAAATGCATTACCAAAATCGGTTTGGGAATAAAAGCACTTCCGGTAGAAGTCAAGTGTCAAACGAAGAACAGCTGTTTAGCGACAAAGAAGAAACAGCAAAAGTACCAGCAGTCCCACCAACAAAAACAGCAGCAAAATCAGCACCAACACAAGGCAAAATTGCAAAATTTCATGAAAAATGCCCACAGTGGCGGAGGAGCAGGTAGTTTCAGTAGCAGTAGTAAAAAACAAAATCCACCAAAAGGTAAACAACTATTAAATAGCGTACATGAACTAAGCAAGCACCTTGACGAAACTTATGCAGAGTCTGTAATTTCGTCGCGTTGGGACTCCATCGAGGAGCAATTAAATTATCTGGATAAGCTGCTATATTACTGTGATGACGAGCAGGATGCTAGCAGTGTTCGGAATTCTAGTATAAGCAAACTGTGCGATAGCAACGGGGAAAGGGCCAAAACAGTTGAGGTGTACTACGAAGGTGACGTTGACGACGACTACGAGAGTGACTGGAGTGTTGAGTGGAGCGATTCAGATATGTCAACTGGAGCAAAAGGTTCGGAAGATGCAGACGTGCTGTCCACTACAAGTGGCGCTGGTTCTGCATCTACAACGACCACATCACCATTGATGCCTTCCACGCTTAAGCGACGCGGACATCAGCACCACCCGCGTTTTTCAGGTACACGCCGTCCCAATATTCCCAAAGTTCAAGAGATACTCGCTGCCCTTTATCGCGGCGATTCACAGAGTGTGCTCACGAATCTACGTCAAGCAGCGCAAGCTGTGCAAGAAGATAATGCTGCGGCTGGCACCGGCAGCGATGTTGAAACTGTTTCGTCCACAATGGGTGACTTACAATATACAGATGAGCCCGATGAAGAGCTAGATTTGCAGCCTACAAAGGCCACAGTGCTCAATTTGCCACTAACAGATTCGGTAACCAACTCGATGGGCAGCAACAGCCCAACACCGACAGATGACAGCAGTATGGTGGATGAAGGTGTGGTAAGCGCACAAACGCCCACAAGCACTACTCCAGCTGAGAGTGTGACTCCAAAATCACAAAAAAGTAAATCTAAACGTGATAAAGCCGAGAAGGCAGAACGTTCGGATAGGAAAAGGAAAACGAAGAAAGATAAAAGTAAGCGCGCTTCCACTTGTTTAGACGCAGAGGGTAATATGACTAGCTCTGCTGACGCGAATGCAGCAGCAGATGAAGGTATTGCAATTGATGATGATGATGTGCAAGCGGCCGAGTGGGCTAAACTGCGTTGCACCAGTGAAGCTGCTGAAATCGTAGCAGAACGTGAAGCGCGGCGTAATAAAGGGCGTTGTGCAGACTATCCGGGCCTAGCATTTGGACGGTCCATATTTAGTTCGGATACTATGATGAAGTTCAACATTATACGCAACGAATTACATAACATCATGAAAACGCAGCTCAAAAGGGTAATTAATTGCATTATGATGCCATAAAGTATTTTCAATTTGAACATTTACTTTTTCAAATTAATTAACATAATTTCTAATCATTGTGTAAAAAATATGTGCAAATACGCTACTTTACTTAGAGAGTAATCGATACGACTAAAAGATCTCGATAGCTCAAAAGAATTATTTAGGAACTTTAAATGCTTTGACCTGAGTTCATCATAAATAGGTACACCGCAATCAAATGACAATTTCGAGTGAGATATAGAGCACAGTTGTTGTGCATAAGCAAAATGGATTCTTCACTGAAAACTGTTTGAACACTTGGCAATTGCCAAATATTTTCTTATAGCTATGCTTTTTATAATGATTACGTAGCACATCGTTAACTTATCTCATTTGGGTATATCAGGGTGTATCGACAGTTGCCGAGCCCAACCGTTCGAGCTGCATTGACTTCAGGTTTCGCCTAGTTTTATGAGACAATGCCATAAGTCGTTTCAGATAACGGTATAAGCGGGGGCAAACAACGCACCGCCTTTTAGTAACAATTCTCATTTTACTCATTTTATTCCCATTTATGCGCCTCAGTCGGTTTGTGACTGTGTACTTCTTCGGAATCGTTGTAAGGATTTCTTTGTCATGCAAGTGATTGTACTGCAATATTCTTTGTTTGCCTACCTATTTCATCTTATCGCTCTAGGTTTCTCTCTTACTTCAGTGCTTGTACATTTTTAGGTAAATAATATGTACAAACATACAAATGTACATACATAGTTATTTAGGTTTATATGTAAATTTAACGGAAATGTTAATGATTTTGTATGCATTACATACTTTCATGAATAATTGGAAACACATTTATGTGTAAAATTTTTGTACTTTGTCCTTCTTTTAGATAATGACCCAGTTTAGAATACGTACATATTATTCGCACTTTTCTTGCTTTTAAGCTGTGAATTTTTTTTCACGTTCGCACATACTCGGCGAGACGATGACCTTCTTGGCAGGCATAGTTGTATAAGATTGAGCTCATTCTTTGTCAGTATATTGCTTTAAATTTAATTGTTGCACAAATTTAGGCTGCGAAATGTGAATGAAGTACGTGTGTATGTACATATGTATGCATGTAGTATTGTAACGGTGTTGCGTGTGGACGTATGCATAAATTTCGATTTGTCTAATTGTCATTAATTATATATCATCCTCTTGAGTGTTTAGATTAAATTATTTTAAGAATTTTAGCTTCAAAATTGAACAATTAAAGTTAAAAATTGTTTGGTATACCCAACGCGAGCAATTAAAATTATTCAAGGTATATGCAATTTCCCCCTTATCAAAAAACTGTTCAATGCCCTGTCTTTTCGGCACTTTGAAGTTATATAATCTGTAACAAGCGTCTAGCCTCTGCGCACTCCCTCCAAAAGAAAGTTATCAGTTTATCTCTCAATAATTGCACACAAAACCATTTTATGGAAAGACGTTCTTAACCTGTTGCCATTTGTATTTTTTTCATGCACTAACATTTAACGCTCGTTAATGTTTCAAATGGTCATTAACACCTTTTATGGTAACAAATTGATTGAATCAACTAACTGGTGCTGTATGCTGCTTAGCATTCTCTATTTCTATTGGCCTTCAACCAACTTTGTAACAAGTGATCTGCTCGTTTTGCTGACCAAAAATGATTTTTAGTAAGTGCTTTTAGAGAAATATTGCTTATAGTTAAATGATTTCTATCAATTGAAAATCATAAACAAAAAAAAGACGCGTTAACGCAGTTTCATAATTGTTATTAAATAAGTGCATAGCTACATACTTTGAGAAAAGTAATTCTCACGTTTCTCGCTCTTTTCTGGCGGCTTTTATGGAAACAACGACCTTACGACTGGCGTCAGCCATTGCAGTTACAATAAAAGTTGTCGTCGGTACAACCATTTTTGACAAATGCGGGAAGGTTCAAAAAAATGGCAAAAAAAGAATGTTAAACTTTTAATTTCTTTTCATTGTCAATGTTCGAACTAAGTGATTACTATTATTATTTATTTATCATGCACAATGTGTGCCTGCATATGTCACTTGCTATAAATGGAAAAGTTACGTGCGAACGTTTATTCGCATGTACAGAGTCAAACAATTTTGTCTATGTACATTAGGGTGGTCCTTAAATATAGGAAGCAAATTTTTATATCAGATTTCCTAAGCCCCAACGTCGATGCTACTATAGTCGAAGATATCACATATAATATTGGTCCCTATTCGAGACGGTTACGACGTGTCGCACAGTGGACAAAGTTAAGATTCCTCTATGAAGACTAAAAAATTAAGATAATTTTTTTTCATCTAATACCCAAAATCGATACTACTGTAGTCGAAAATATTTATTTATTTTTTCAATTTTTTCTTCAGCTTATTTACACTTAAGTCTTAGTTGCTGGTTCTTCCAAATTGTATGATCTAGAACTTTATAGAACTTAACTATAGTTGCTATTCATAATATACATTTCCATTTCAGTGGCGTTGCTTATCGGCAACCCAAATGAAGTTGCGTTGCCATCTATAATCGATCCATTATTATGATTTTTCTTGAGCTCTGGATTCTGAGTTTTAAGATACAGTTTGTATTTATTTGAGGTAATTAGCTTTGGGGGGTATGAACCCCCGCTAATGTGTATGTGCTACTCTTAACTTTTGATATATTCTACTAAGGGCCAAATTCACAGTAGCGAAATACTATCTCTTGAAATAATAGCTTAAATTAATATATATTCGCCAATTCGTTATCTACCTTGATTCTGCTATATGTTTCAATCAGGAATTAACGTTTTTGAATGAACTATTATTCAAATAAAAAATTAAATTTTATTCACAATTTTTCTATGGTTGAACGCCGGAATTTCAAATATCGAATAACTTTTTATTCTTCATTCAAGGAATTTCAAAAAACGAAAGTAATTTCGAATAGGAATAAATATTTATTTTTCATTCAAGTTATTTCAATTAACGAATTTTACTCTTCATTTAAGTGATTCTGAAAAACGAATAATTTTTAATTTATTATTCGAATTTACTGATGAAAATTTAGTTCTTCATTTGAAAGTACTTGAATGATGAATAAAAATTTATTCGCTATTTGAAATTTCTTGATGGTGAATCAAAATTTATTAATTTGAAACTACTTGGATGAAGAATAAAAATGTATTCTTCATCCGAAATTACTTGAATGATAAATGGAAATTCACTCTTGTTTATTTCTTTTATCCAATTATTCATTTACCTGATTTCGCCCATCCCTGGTTTGAATCCTTCGTTCCTTAAAACAAAAATTTCTCGGGTCTAGCAGTTCGAACCGGCCATTCTATACATTTTTAAAAATTGTATATCTCTGGCAACATTTGTACCACTTTGAGAGAGCCTAGTCTTGAAATATCCTATTGGAATCTAGTTAAAAGCTTATCCTACACCAAGGGTCCTTCAAATACCTTGTTTTAAGCAGAAAGTGCAACTACGCTTCTCCTCTTAATAAAAAATATATTTCTATTAAACTTTTAGTTTACTTTTATTCGCAAATCAAATACAAATATTTACTGCTCATCGGCAAATTTAACTAATTTCCAAAGTGCTCATCCATGTTCAGTTGTATGTACATATATACAACTGCCTCTTTCATACAACAGCGTACGCCGAAGTATTTTCTACTTTTTAAGGTACTAGTCGACCTTGTTCAATGCCGATTTGAGTCATTCACAAATTAAGGCGAGGCTTGTGAGAGTGTTTTGCTTTGCTTTCATTCTCTGGTCGTTCATTTTCCAGCGACAGCAAAAACAATACGCAAACTTGTCAACGTAATCTTTGTGGCTGGTCGCCGCTTCCAAAGAATTCAAATTTTTTCAACGATTTCATTTTGCGATACGAATTCCTTCTGTGCTGAGCTCATACAATTTTCGCTGCGGCATTTTAATTCGAGACGTGGTGTTTTGTGGCAAGAATTGCACAGGTTTAAAAAGTTGTCTGTTCTTGTTTGTGTGCGAATTTGTATCGGTAATATTCATAAAGTGCATATTGAAGTTTGTGAGAAGAAAAGTTCATATTTCAATAAAATTTATCTAAATAAGCTACCTTTGAAAGAAAAAACGACGATAAGTAGCTAAAGTAAGAGGCAATAAATTAAAAAAAAAGGTAGAAAAAGGAGAGCACAGTAGGAACAGCAGCAGAAAAACCGGTGGTTCCAAATTGTTCGTGCACTGTGTTTCGTTTCGTTGCGTTCCGCAATCATATCTTCTATTTCTTTTTCGCCACCTTTCGTGTCATACGTTTTTTTTGTCGTTTGAGCCGCCGTCACCGTGTTCATTTTGCCAAGAGTCATGAAAAGATAAATTTTTGATTAATATTTGGTGCTGCGAAACAAAGTATGGAAAATTGTTAAACAACACAAGTGTAGAAAATCAATAAATTTTTGAAGTTGTCGCATAAAAGCTACAAAACGAAATTTCGTTTATCTTTTTCCAGTTTCGAATAATACCTGAGTGGTCCCTTTGTGCGTGTTGGCTGTTAATACGATCAAGCCAAAATTAGTGGTGTCAGTTAAAAAAGAAAGAAAAGTGTTGTTCATCTTTTACCCCCAACTCGTTTTAAAGAAAGCTGTCAAATATGACGACCAGCATTCCGCAAGGCACCCTCTTGGACGTGCTGAAGAAGAAAATGCGCCAGACCAAAGAAGAAATGGAGAAATATAAAGACGAATGTGAGGAATATCACAAGCGTTTGCAACTTGAGGTGGTTCGACGTGAAGAAGTAAGTGTAGCTCGTACGATTCACTGTACATTCCACTGTGTAGAAGGTGTTAAGGGTGGGTCGTGTATGCGTAAAGTTGTGTGCTTATCAAGACACAGGTGACGCAGTCACGCTCAAATAACGTATTTCTATTGTAAAAAATTCCATGGACGTAATATATTGGTTTCTCATTGGGGGTTGAACATCCTTAATATAAGGTGTAAGAACTAAAAAGGAAAATGATA